CCCTGCACCCCTTCCTCCCCTACTCGTCCCCGCCGTCATCAACCCCCCACCCCCTCCCTCGCCACCCTCTACAACCGGCCTCCCTCCCGCCCGCCTCCCGACCTCGCCCGCTCTGCCCGTCGACGTCGTGACCCGAGCGAGCCCCTTCCCTTCGCTGACCTTAGCCGCGCTGACCTGGCCGCGCCGACAGCCCCGCCGACGCTTGCCCAACACGCCGCCCCGACCGCCGCCCCGACCGCCGCCCTCGGACCCTCGGCAAAAAACGGAGACGGACTCGGGCCGCCGACGCCGAGCGATTCGGGAACGACTTCGGCCTTCGGGGCTGGCCCTCTCGGGGTCTCTCTCTCTCTGCCCTCCTCTCCCTCTCCCTTACCTTCTTTCTTAACTTCTCTCTCTCTCTCTCTCTCTCTCTCTCTCTCTCTCTCTCTCTCTCTCTCTCTCTCTCTCTCTCTCTCTCTATCTATCTATCTATCTTCTCTCTCCTATCTTCTCTCTCCCATCTTCTCTCTCCCATTTTCTCTCCCTCCCTCCCTTCCCCCCTTCCTCCGTTTCTTCCGCTCCCTTCCTCCCTCCTTCCCGCTCCAAATTTCGCAAAAATAAGTCATCCTCTTTGATATTCTGCCTTTCACATTTCCTCTTCCTTTACCACACTTTCTATTTTCATTATTATCATCATTTTTTTTACGGTTTTGACCCATAAATGCACATTCGCCCACTCGCCACTTCAGAACATACCTCTTCCGTCATTCGTAATTCTAATCTGTTTAAAAGAGAGAATTCCCTTCAACGCCATTTTAAAAATAATATTATTCATGTGCATCCTTCGTCGTAAAAACAGCTTCTCCTAAAACTACAACTTTTCCTAAGTTATGATTACTACAGAACTACAACTTCTAAAACTACATCAACTTCTGTTAAAAACTACAACTTCTCCAAAATCACAACTTTTACAAATACAACTCCCTTAAAAAAACTAGAAGTCCTCTTTAAAAAAAACTACAACTCCTCCAAAACCACAACTTCTACAACTACAACTCCCCTTAAAAAAAAACTCCTACAACCACATCTCCTCTTTAAAAAACTACAACTTCAAACCCACAACTCCTACAACCACAACTCTTACAAAACCACAACTCTTAAAACTACACTTACAACAACTCCTCCAACCCCACACCAACAACCACAACTCTTGAAGACCGCACCTCCAGCCGCCCCCCCACGCCACGGCCGCATTACCTGCGTGTGATTATCCCGTTCGCGCGACACCTGGCCCGACCCTCCGCCTTACAAACAAAAGACGATCGCGAATCAGGTTCATATCCACGCCGAGAAATTAATCAAATTGCGGTCATTACCGAGGAGAATCATCCCCCTCCCCTCCCCCTCCCCCCTTCTTCTCCTCCTCCTCCTCCTCCTCCTCCTCCTCCTCCTCCTCCTCCTCCTCCTCCTCCTCCTCCTCCTCCTCCTCCTCCTCCTCCTCCTCCCCCGGGGCTCTCCACCCCCCAACCCCCTCTTCTCCTTAATCATCACTGTCTCTTCGTCAAGTTCATCTCTTGAGATTCTTTCGTGGACTTCCCTTCCCTTGACTTTTTCATTTTATTTCTATTATTATCATTATCATTAATATTATTATTATTATTATTACTACTACTATTATTATTATTTAACTGCTTCGTCCATCTTTTTTCTTCTTTTTCGTTTTCTTTCTATTTCTTTTTTCTTTTCATTTTCTTCTTCTTCTCTACCTCTCTAAAGAAAATCCACATCAAAACAAAACAAAACGAACAAAAAAATAAAATACCTAGTTATTTATTTATTTATTTTTTTAAACCTTTTAAGCCTTAAAAAAAAGCGTACATCTGCATTCGATTCCACACTTCCTCGACGCGATGCAATCTCCTCTCCTCGCTGCAACATCCATATGCATCTCGATCGCTATCATAACCCAGCTGAGAGAGGAAGGGAGAGTGGGGGGGGGGGGGGGGGGGGGCTTGGAGGGGGAGCGTGGGGAAGGAGGGGGAGAGGGAGGGAAGGAGGGAAGGGAGGGAGGGGAAGGGAAGGAGGGAGGGAGGGAAGGGAGGGAGGGAGGAAGGGAAGGGAGGGAAGGGAGGGAAGGGAGGAAGAGGGAGGGAAGGGAGGGAGGGAGGGAGGGAGGGAGGGAAGGGAGGGAGGGAGGGAGGGAGGGAGGGAAGGAATGAAGGAGGGAGGGAAGGGAAGGAGAGGAGAGAGGAGGACTGGAGAAAAGAAAGAAAGGAGAAGAGAGGAGAAAAGAGAAGAGGAGAGAAATGAAAAGAAATTACGAGAAGAAACAGGAAGAGAAGAGGAGAAAAAAAGAGAAAAAAAATAAAGAGAAATATGACTCGATTCCTATAAAATACTATCAGAAAAAAAAATCCAACAGCCCAGTATTTACAGACATCAAAATATGGCTCCATTGCATCCGCCCGCTCCTCCCCCCCTTCCCCCCTTTCCCCTTCCCCTTCCCCTCCCCCCCTTCCCC